GGGCGGCCCCTTCTTCGGGACGCAGAAGCGATCTGGCGACAGGTAAGTCGCCAGGATCGCTTCTGTTGTAAAGCCGACAGTCGGCTCTACAAGTTTAAACAGAGTCCCGGCGGCAAAAGTCGCCGGGAGTCTGTTTAAACAGCCCCAATGCTGGCGACGTACACTGTACGTCGTCAGTCACGAAGGGGTTAATCATATAATCAATGGGTGCTATAATCAATCCACATTTCAGCAGTGTACAATTTAAGGAGTTGGACATTCCCAGTTTCCTAAATGTTCTCTGTTGATGGTTAAAAAAAAAGGTTAAATCTATTGGATTAAGTCATATTTCTGCTTCCTGATTCTGCAAGTTTAACAAGAAGCGTAAACACTCCCTAATATGAAATCAGTTTGTGGACCCCTGGCCATCACATCTACATGGAATTGTTGCACAGCTCATTCCAAACTCATGGTCAGTAATATGGTGTCCGCTCTTTGGCCCCGTTTACACAGGGGCTGTCCATTCCAATCAGCAGGGAAACCGTGCACTGGATATGGAGCAGTATGGAACTCTCGTGACATCGGTGTCATCTTGCGATGGAGGAAAAAACTGAGCTGTATGGACCCATTTGAGGTCTATGCCCAGTAGGATATAAGTGGACAAGTGTCAGTTTATATCTGATGGGAAGCAGATATATGCAGCAGATATTATCTGATGGGAAGCAGAACAGGCGGATCTGATGAGAAAAAACGAGAAGAAGACGCTGTCTGTTTTACTTGTTTTGCATGTCTTGTGGGGATACTTCCCAGTGGACTTAAGGACGGCAGCCTATCCTCCAACGGTTGGCGATGAAGAATCTCTGAGCTGGGGTCAGCTGAGCGTTGTGGTGTGCATTTTTTTGGATGTGATAAGAAGCCCAATGCAACTCTATGAGCAGCCAGATTTAAAGGGACGTGCATCGGTTTGCATCCAATGGGTGTGTCTGGATGCAATTGGATGCACGTTCCTTTACATCTGGCTGCCCACAGAGTTTCATTGGGCTTCCCATTAGATCCACCTGAAACAATGACCGGTGGATCTGATCAGACTGCCAATGTAAAAGGCGCCTTCAGGGAACACTTTCCATATGATGTTGGCACGTATAAGTAGAAATGTGTGCCTATTTGGTCAAAAGAGCATTTGAGAGATTAAGTACTGATTGGCTGCAGTCACTTTTTTGCTCAGATTTTTCGGATCAGCTTCCTAAACAACAATCAATTTAAAAATGAACTTTTGCCGAACAGGTAGGGTCCCAACAGGGCCTCACACTGGTCGATTTCCAAAATTCCATCAGTGTATGCCAGCTTAAAGCTCAACCTGCTGAATAAAATGATTTTTAGCCCTGACTACTATCATTCAAAATAGAAATGATGGATACAACCACTAGACATTCCATTTAAATATAAGTCTGCCAATTGTCCATATGTGTGCATGGGGTACATAGAGGGTCTTTTAAGTTTGCCTTGCGTTTTTTGTTTGTTTATTAGATTTTATTATTTGGTATTCAAGAGAAACCACAGAATGTGAAAGCTGAAAAGAACGTATGTATAGTGAAATATGGTGCATCAAAAATGGTACATACTTTTGATGTACTATATTAACTTTTGGGTAGTAAAACTCTGACAAAGGATTTACTTTTTCCCCAATCTATCCAAAACGAAAAAGTTTTGTTTCTAAATACACTTTAGTGAACTTTTAAAGTGTATGTAAACTCTACTAAAACAATTAAAACATCTCTTATTTTCTCCATGTTGGTTTGTTAAATATACGATAGAAAATATTTAGTTATATCTGTTATATACGTATGTAGAGTGGAACGCTTGTGTTTGCGAACAATTCGGTTCTCGAACAGGAATTTCGTAAATATTTTGCCTCCGTTCGCGAACTCTGCATCGGGTGACAAACACGACCGCGGCCATCTTCCCCGCTCTGACACGTGGTCGTGGCTTCCTCTAGTTGAGATTGCGGTCGCAGACAGAGCTGAGCACACTTGCTTTTTTGTGTGCTTTTTATCACAGTACTGTACAGTATTACAGTATGCAATCCAGCATGGCTCCCAAGAAAGTGCAGAGCAACCATGGTGGGAGAAGGAAAGTGCAGAGCGGTAATGAAGGTGACAAGAATGTGCAGAGTGTTAATGAAGGTGACAAAAACGTGCAAAGCGGTAATGAAGGTAACCAGAAAGTGCGAGCAAGCATGGTCGTAAAAAGAAAGTGCAGAGCAATAATGAAGGTAACAAGAAAGTGCAGAGCAAGAATGGTAAGAAGGTTTTGAAGAAAATAACCATTGAATTGAAAAAGGTAATTGTAGAAAAGCATGATCGAGGTTAGTGTTCACTCTCTTCATACTGTACTGTATTGTACTTTATTTCATATTTTTGTGGTTACATTTTTTTTTACATATGGTTCAGAACGGATTAACCTCATTTACATTGAACCCTACGGAAAAATGTTATTCTGTTCGCGACCAAAATGGGTTTGCGACCACGTTCATAGGGGTCAGAACGGATTAACCTTATTTACATTGAACCTTATGGGGAAATTTTATTCGGTTCGCGACCAGAATCGTGGAACCAATTAAGTTCGTGAACCGAGGTACCACTGTATATATTTTATATATGACATATCTGGGGTTTAGATACACTTTGAGCCTCATTTATAAAACATCCGCCTAGTGTATAGCCAAGCAGATGCCATTCGTACGAACTAGTGGCACTGTCATGTATAGGAAATCCATATATTCATCTAGGGCAGTGTTCCCCAACCCCAACCTACCGGTCTGCGGATCAAATGGTACCGGGCCGCACAGTCTCAGTGCGGTCCGGTCCTGCAATATATTAAATCAAAACAATCTAAAATATAAACAATCAACGTCCCCCCCTCAGCGGGCCACGGTAAAATTATTAAACGTTGACCGGTCCGCTGCGATAAAAAGGTTGGGGAGCACTGATCTAGGGCACTAGTGCCATGCAAACAGCATCGGCCCAGCTACACATCGGGCAGACGTTTTGTAAATGAAGCCCTTAAACTTCAATGCACTCTATGATTTCAATCCTTAAGAAAAAATAAATGAAGCAAAGCGAGAACTAGTGTTTGTACACTGTCAATATAGCAGCAAGATCGGTATTGTTTAAAAAGTCACAATGTTTTCGAACATCTGCGACACCGCAGCGTGGCAGCGTACTTTCCAATTACACAAAGTAATGACTGTTGGATCTTACACAACAGCCCCTCAGCCCAGTGCCCAGCGGCACAAATTGATGCTGTTTTATGATTAATGAGAACGAACAGCAGGATAGGACTTACTTTCAGCTTCCATAAAGGCCTCTGGAAGATACGTGAACCCACTTTCTTGCTCTAAAGGATTCCCGCAGCTTGCATGCTCCCCAGGACGCTGCAGGTTAATGACTGTTTTTATTCCACAGCTTCAGAAAAAGAGGTAAATAAGAAAGTATTTAATATCCAGGTCTCTATACTTTCCTTATAGACTAATCTATTAAATGAATATGTGTCAAAACAATTAAACTGTGAAAATGATGTATTGTGTTTTTATATCTCCCCACAGACAATGCACATGAAAAGTGAAACTCCAGGATTAAAGTGGAACAACCGTTTTCTTTTTTTACCAACCTGCCATCCCCTGCTTTCTCCAAAGCGATATATTTTTCACTATTTCATTTTTTAAATTGGTGTTGCACTTCAAAAATAACCCTTTCCTCCTTAACACATTACTACCCCAGCAGCATCTACTCACTTTTCTATCCATTCTGATTGGCAAGCAGGAGCTATATGAATTATCTGGCACTTATGAGTATGGGTGAGCATCCTGTCTTCTCTTATGTGATAGTGCTAGTGTTTCTGGGTTGGCCCAGTATTGTCACATAGGAGTGAGGAAGGAGTCCATAGCGCTGTGTAAATTCTGACATGTCAGATTGGAGCTTACACAAGGTTTTCTTTTCCCAGTCCCACTGGCTCAATGAAGTAGGCATGGCAGTGAGGAAAGGTAAGTATAGGCTGTTGGGAAGCGAAGGTGTTAAATAAACCTTTTACTTTGCCTTGCATGAGCAAAGTTGGAAGGGCCACTTAAAATATATACTGTATATATTTATATATATGTATATATTAGAGGTGCACCGAAATGGAAATTTCAAAACCGAAATAAAAAAAATTGTCAGGCCGAAACCGAAAATGTTTTTTATTTACATTTTTTCAATTTTATTTTCATTTATTTTTTTAATAAACTTTTTCTTTTTTATATTTATTTTTATTTATTATTTCATTTTTTATTCAATATTTTTATTTTTTACTTTACTTTTAGAGGCTTCGGGGGAAATATTAGGGGTCTAAACAGACCCCTGGTATTTCACTTTTAAAATAGAAAAAGAGATTGAGGACAAAAAGTCCTGAATCTCTTTTTCTGCAGCCCCAGTTATCAATGGACAGGAATCCTCTATAATGAGTGTTTCTGTTCATTGATAACATGAAGACAGAGTATGTTTACTATAACCACAACTATGAATGAACAGGAGGTGATGCAGATCACTTCCCATTCATTCATAATTGAGGTTATAGTAAACATACCATATCCTTAATTATCTACAAACACTCAGTGATCACTGATTGCTGAGTGTTTGTACCCGCTCTCCTTCCTGACAGCTGTCACAGGAGGCTGAGCGAGCAGAGCGGAGAGGAGAGCTCAGCCTCCTGTGACAGCGCGGGCTGCCTCCGCCCCCACACCGCTCTGCCTGACTGTGATAGGAGGCTGAGCAGTGTGGGAGGAGAGACGCCGGCCGCTCTCAGCGCTCTCCTCCCGCAGTGCTCGGCCGGCTATCACACTTTCTCTCCTCCCTGCTGGGACACAGAGCAGCGCCCAGCGGCGAGTAAAGAAAGCAGGGATGCGCTGATGTATCGGCACAAAAATGGCACTTTCGTCTCTTAGCCAAAAGTGCCATTATTTTCGTCCGATATGTTTCGGCGGCCGATATTATATATTGCAAGAATTCTCCTTTCTGTCTGAAGGCAATTTCTCTACAGAAAAATGATTAATTTCATATTGTGTAGAGATTCATAAACGTTACGTACATTTGTTTTATTGGAATGTTAATCTTTACTAGCCAGTAGGGCCTCTTACATGTCCCTTTCTGATTTAGTTTGACTTTTACTTTCTGAGCCTGGACTGACTGCCTCATTGGCCTGGAAGTTAATTTAATGGAAAGCTACAGTGATTAAAATGCCAACAGGTTTCGGAGTTTAATAAGACCCTCTTTATCAGGGCTAGAAGACTGAAAAATGTCATAAGCACACTTGTCTGATCAATGGGTGTTTCCATAATGGATAAGTAGGCAATATACAGTAGTTTATACAGAGCGAGATTAGGAGAGACCCTTGTCCTATACACATGGTTATCATAGAGCTAGAGATGGATGCAGCAGTTCTAATGCGCACTTTTGGTTTTAAACTCAATTTGCTTGAGCAGCTTTGCCTTCAAATGCAAAAGGCAGTCTTTGACAACAACACTTGAGACCCCCGCTAAATTAGTAAAACACCAAAACTGAAAAGTCAGCAAACAGAGCTGCTATTCAATTCTTTTATTAGAGAACCTCTTTACCTCTGGAACTGCTCGATAATATTATATTTCTCAATAATTTCTGTTGAGGGTCTCGCCATTGCAAGTATGTTATCTGTAATCCTGAAACAAAAAGCAATATACAAATAAACTTTAGCAAAATCAGCTCTTAACTTGCAGTTCTTGTTCTATGTCTATATAAATACTAATTAATAATTAGTGTAGTTCAACTTTCCTGTGTGATAGCTGAAAGGCACCTACAGGAGGATTTGTACCAAAGGAATCACTCCCCTGCATCCCTGCAGATACCGTAGGTTTGTCCTCCACCCCCAATCTTTTGCAAACATGATTTATTAGCAAGGATCCCAAGAAAAATCTCCTTTAACCAACAATGCAACTATAGGATGTTTGGCCTTCTTTCCCCTTAAAGCCAAATTAAGCCCTCTATATCTATTAATGTAATACAGACAGGCTGCTTGTACAGTAATCAATATGCCGCTGTTTTAGTTTGTTTAGTTGCCACATGTTGCTGCAAGGGTAAAATACTTGGGCTGGGAGCACCTTAGAGAGTCGGACCGCTGCTATCACACACAAGAAGCAGGCCGGGTCTCCAGCAGTCTGACACACCACCTGTATACTGCTCTAATCAACAGCAATCCATATATAATAAAGCCAGATCCTAATACAACTCCCCCTGCACTGAATATGAGTAGCATTAGTCAATAATGAACTTACCAGGAAGAATAAAGTCCCTTTATAGCTTGCTCCTCATCGCTCCATCTGGCCGGGTTTTCATATTTACAAGCGCGACCACCACACGTCATGGAACACTGCATGTGACCCGGGATGACATGCCTTAAGCGCTCTCCCACTTTGGTGTATTTTGAAGTTGGACGTCTGCCACTTCCTATAAGAATATTGCCATTTAATGATGTCAATATCGAAGCAAATGATTTGTCCATCTCAATATAATTGTTCTGCCACATAAAGCAAAAACACTTGAAATCCAATATGTCAATACATTTATCATAACCCAGAACAGAGGTCAATAAATCTGGGTCGCATTTTGTGGCTGCTGCATGTGTTTCAAATGAGTAACGTTCACAGGTTTTCTAAGAGGTCTAATTCAGCAAGGAGGTGAAGATGTAACGCTGGACATATCTTTGATGTGTTCTTTTGGGTCAGCACAATGCACCAATGAGGTACCAGCAACTAATACAGACTTATGTATGCATGGCCTTCTATGTAAGATTTTTTTTTACTTCACATTTAATCTCTTCAAAAGTGGGCATTCCTTCCTGCCAGGTGTGCTTCACCTAGCAGCGTATCTTTCTATCTTTGAAGAAAGGCTAATGTCCGGAAAACTACTTTGGGAGTTGGAAGTTTCTGAAACGATCTGAAGTATTTTATAGAACATTTAGATTCTACATGCAGATTCAGAGGTTCTTTATCGGGGTTGAGGGTATGACTGTTAGAGGTGTGGGTTTGCAATCCATTTTTGGGGTTCATATTTTGGGAGTGACCTGAGACTCAATTTTGTAGCATGCTATGTTGAGCATGCTATGTTGAGTCCTCAATCTCTTTTTCTGCAGCACCAGTTATAAATGAACAGGAATCCTCTATGCCGAGTGTTCCTGTTCATTCAAAACATGAGAACATAGTATGTTTACTATAACCACAATTATGAATGAACAGGAGGTGATGTAGATCTCTTCCCATTCATTCATAATTGAGGATATAGTAAACATACCATATCCTTAATTATTTAAAAACACTCGGCGATCACTGATCACTGAGTGTTTGTACCCACTCTCCTTCCTGACACGCTATCACAGGAGGCTGAGCGAGCAGTGAGGGAGGAGAGCTCAGCCTACTGTGGCAGCGCTGGCTGTCTCCACCCACACACCACTCTGCCGATCTGTGACAGGAGGCTGAGCGGTGTGGGAGGAGAGACGCCGGCCGCTCACACCGCTCTCCTCCCGCAGCGCTATGCCGCCTGTGACAGTTTCTCTCCTCCCCGCCGGGACACATAGCAGCGCCCGGCGGAGAGGAGAGAAAGCAGTGATGCGCCACTGTATCTGCCAGAAAATGGCACTTTCGGCATTATGCCAAAAGTGCAATTTTTGGCCGATATGTTTTGGCGGCCGATATATTGGTGCATCCCTAATCGGTACCATTCCCTCTGCTTTCAGAGTATGGTGTGGGTGGGCCTGAGGCTACAAGTGTTGTGTCATAAAATCAGAGCTCCGGTAAGTGTTATTACATACACAATTGGTCTTGAATCAGCATTAATTTAATTTTGCTCAGTATTTATTAGTGCTTCAATTGATATTTTCATCTATCCATCACATCCTTCTTCACTCACCTACACCCATTACTCTTTCATGAAATTGAGGTAGGGGTACTGCCCACTGCTTTAAAAGATGTTCAAACAGGTAAAAAGGCTAACCACTGGCCCAGTAGATGTGTAAATTAAAGCCTAACTGAAATTTTAGTTACATTTCAGCTAAATACATTTCAGATGCATCAAAACAAAAGGTTTGTAATGTCTTCAAGTTTATTTTCTTTAGAAAGCAGTCACATCCTGAGTAGAAAAGCCTGTTCTCTGCCAGCATGATGCAGAGAAGGACCCTTGCTCTCTGTGTGGAAGTAGTGGCCTCTCTGCTGAGTTCCAACATGTCCCCCTGCTGAATCAGACCTAGAGCTGACCAATCAGCAGGGAGCATGAGCCTTGCTGATTACAGAGCTATAGGTAGGACTCACCAATGGCGTGTTGGACCAATAAGGCCTGTGCATAACCTGTTCAAACTGGAGCTGACTGGTAATTAAAAGGCTTCAAGAAAGCTGTTCAAAGCTTGCCAAAAGCTTTTCAATAGCGAGCTGTACACACTGCTCTTATACAAGGTGAAGCACAGAGATCATGGGTCTCAATAGCTACTGCCCCTTTTCTATTCACTGTTTCCTTACATAACATTTTGCAGAGAATAAAGTGGCATTTCGCTTTACTTTATGTTACAAAGTAGATGTCACTTTTCTGCATGTAATATAAACAAAAACATTTGGGATTTTTTGTTTGCACTCTCAAAGAAAACTGACTTAATTTCTTTGCATGTGCTTTGATTTTCTTTTAAAGGGAACTCAGTGTCCATTTTCTGGTCAGACTGTGTAACAGATGCACGGCTTTAAATCACAAAAGCTAGCTTTCATGGAGAAATAAAACTCTGCCCACACATCAGGCACTTATGTGTGTTAACAAATAGCAAATGTCAGGACACAGTTTCTATTCACAATAGAAAATGATGGAGATTATAAAATGTGCAATGTTCTGAGCTGGATCTAACAGAAGTAAATCCCTGTCCTTCACAATCTGTAGCATTAAAGAAGATAATGCAGAATGAAATTGCAACTTACATCTATATAGCGGATGGATTTTTTTAACAGGATAAGTGGACTTTAAAACAAAGTGCACTTATCTTTTTTGCTCCCCATCCTCGGCCTAAACAATCCCACCCTCCCCCTCTGCAGATCCGTAATTACGAGATTGGACAGGCAGAGTTCCGCCATTGTTTATATCCAGCACTGCAATGCTCCCTCTGCTGGCTGCACCTGCACATTGAAGCCCCATAGACTTTCATGGGGCCGTTTCCCAGCTAAGAGATGACACAGACAGGAGGGGGACACTTGCGGCGCTGTATGACCCAAACAGCAGAGCTGTGGGCCTCAGATCTTGGTAAGTATAGATCTGCAGAGGATGAGGGTGGGATCCTTTAGGTCAGGGAGAAGGGGATAATAAGTGCATTTTGTCAATTGTGCACCTATTCTTTAAATAACTTCAGGTGTATAACATAAAGCCTAAAAAAATACATACAAAGCAACTGCTTAGCATGCACAGTCTGGTGTAACAATCAATCATAATTTATTTAAAAAAAAACATAAAGATGGATATAGTATATACAGAGCCGCTTGGCAGAAACAAGGCTGCCCGTTAATACAAACTGCTATGCAAGGCCTTGTACAAAAGGACATTGGTGTTGATTTACTAAAGGCAAAAAGGCTGTGCACTTTGCAATGGTCTTTGCACTTTGCAGGGGAAGTTTCTCTTAGCTTAGTAAATGTGGTGGAACTTCACTTTGCAAAGAACACCCAATCACGTTCAAGGAAAATAAACAAAAACAGCATTCTTTTTTACCATGATTGGCTGATGGAAGTCAGCAAAGCCTCCCCTCATTCACTAAACTAAGGGCAAACTTCCCCTGCTAAGTACAAATGATCTTGCAAAGTGAACAGTCTATTTACCTCTATTAAATCAACCCCATTTGTGTCATCTTAGCTTCTACATGCTCATCTTACAGCATCAGATGAAGAAAGCACTAACAGGAAACACTTATAGATTTTTCATTTCAAGCAGCTTTCTTGAACCTCTTAAAACATTCTAGTGCTCCAATCTGTGATTGTTGAAAAGCATTACAGCCCAATTAAAGTCTTCCTTTTTTTTACATGTTATGCAGTCAGTCAGTAAAAAGCAGTGCTGTTGATTGGTGCACTGTACAGGAGGTCTATTAGTCCTATGGTAACCCAGCCCGATACTCTTTGTGTGGGAGCAACGGTTCAGTTTGGTTCTCCAATGTCCTGCTCGCATAGGGCAGCTTCATACAGTTTTAATTACCACAACATTAAAAAAAAAAAACATTTTTTATTTTTTTTTGCTATACAGCTTGACTGGGTAACAAGCATAAAAAAAGCTACGTTTTAATTGGGATTTATAGTAAATCTTAACTGAGAGAGAAGTGGATGCTGCAGTTGCTGAGCTCTCCAGATGAAAGTGCCTGGCTATCTCCAGCTTAAATACATTTTGAGTAACTAACCATCAAACCCAAACTGGAGTTAAAAGGTACTTCAGGGCTTCAAGAAGGTTGCTTAAGGCTTGTTAAATGCTTTGTAAATGCCTGCTGAATTTAATGTGCTCCAAACTAGTATATACTAGCCGAGATAGACAATGTCCAAGTGTATAAGGATATTAGGATCAATGGTGCACACATTTTTGTGAAGTAGCTGCCTTGTGTTTAGTCTAGTTAGAGTTTCTCTTCACTATGGACCTGCATTATATCTACAGCCTCTTTAGAGCCAGGGCTTCATATTTTCCTTTACATATCTGCCACATCTAACCACATACCAACCCAAGTGGATCAGACACAGTTCTCTGACATCCTTCTGTCACATTTGTGGTCTTTTCAGCTTAGTTCTGATCTCCCTATGGCAGGCTTCTGATGACAGAAGGAGAGGGGGGAGTAATATAAGGTCTAGGGATGTCCAGATACCAGTTCAGATACCAGTGCCAATACTTGGCATTTTCACGAGAACTATCAGGGTTGCATCGGTTGCAGATGGGACCTGGCTCTTGTGCTCCACCACTGTCCTGAAATCATTAGTCTGTATTGTTTTAGAAAAACTGTCACATGACAATAAACAAAAATGTATCAATACTTGTATCTGTGAGTACTTGGGCAAGTATCAGTACTTGTACTTGAAAAAAAGGTAAAAATGGTAGTTTTAATGTATGAAAAAATCATACATTAAAACTAGTGATGCACCGATACCAAGTACCATACTCAGTACAAGTACAAGTACAGATACTTTTCCAGCTCCAAGACTAAACTAGAGAAAAATTCAAAAGTTAGGAGGCAGCTGTCATTTGTAAGGAACATATGGAGCTCATGGGATTTGTACATCCCTGTTTTAATGTATGATTTTGTTTTTATAAACCTATATAAAGGGATGCACTGATCCTTGCCCAAGTACTCACAGATACAAGTACTGATACATTTTTGTTTATTGTCATGTGACAGTTTTTCTAAAACAATACAGACTAATGATTTCAGAACAGTGGTGGAGCGCCAGAGCCAGGCCCCAGCTGCAACCGCTGCAACCCTGGTAGTTCTCATGAAAATGTGAAGTATCGGCACTGGTATCTGAAAAGTATCGGTGCATCCCTAATTAAAACAGGGGTGCACAAATCCCAGGAGCTCCGTATACTCCTTAAGAATGACAGCTACCTCATAACTTTTGAATTTTTCTCTAGTCTAGTACTGGAGCTGGAAATGTATCTGTACATGTACCGAGTACAGTACTTGGTATCTGAACATCCTTAATAAGGTCCCATGAGGGTTTCTACATTATCCATCTTGTCCTGTGAAGATGCAATGCAAAAGGACAGCCAATATGTCTGATCATGGCCATAGGATGGGCTATCACATAAAATATGAGCATAAGCTGTGAACTACAAGCTTATCTTTACGTATTGATGGGTAAAAGGTCAATCCTTAACAGCAACTGATAATCTAACCTCAATGTGTACATTGCATCAGACAACCAGTAGAGGTTCCTTTCCTCACATCACTCTCATAAACAACAAAGAAACACTGGTGCTCATTCAAAGCTGAACATCTGCACATGGACATACCTGTCTTCATGTGCAATGGGGTTCAGACCAATCTGGGATCAAAATTCTTGTACCCAAAGAGCAGAGAAGTTTAAATAGCCAACCCACCCAAAAATTACTTTTCAGTTTTTCGGAGAGTACAACCCCCTGGCAGTTTCTCGTATTTTTGAGGGATCCTTTTGGGGAGATCTCTGCACTGGAATCCCTGAGTCTGCTTAACACCTGTGGTCATATAAGGGGTTTCTGTTCTCTCGGTTGGATGATCTTTTTCTTTTATGTTATAGAGAATGGAAGAGGAGGTGTACATTTAAACAATATCTTTATTTTTAATTAGAACAGAATCCTTCTATGCCCTTTAAAGATGCATTCCAGCCAAAAAGCCAAATACACAAATGAAGCACAGACAGTGCCTATAAAAATCCTTGAAAAACCTCCTTGAAAGTACAGTAATACCTCGTTTTACGAACGCTCTGTTTTCGTGAACAATTTCGGTTCGCGTACAGAAAGTTAGGCAATAGTTTGCTTTTATTCACAAACTCCACATTGGGTGACGAACACAACTGCGGCCATTTTCCCCACTCTGACAGGTAGTCATGTCTTCCTCTAGTCGAGATTGCGGTCGCAGACAGACCTGTGCACACTTGCTGTGAAGCTTTTTTATGTGCTTTACAGTATACTGTACAGTATTATGTATTACATTGAACCTTATGGGGAAATTTGATTCGGTTTGCGACCAATTCGGTTCGCGACCAGAATCCTGGAACAAATTTGAGACCAGAATCATGGAACGAAGTTCGTGAACCGAGGTACCACTGTATAGAAATATAACTGTCATAGAAGAGTGAATGGCAGTTGATTTAGTCAAAGGAAATATACTCATTTACGTCAATGTAATGCATACTGTGTCTCTGCAAAGTGATTTAAATTAATTAAAAAGAAAAAAAACACATAATAACTGGATAGATCTCTGTTGGCTTTGCACAACCGGACCGTGCAATTGTTCTCCATTTATCTTTGTAAAAATGTTATGTTGCAAAGGGATCATGAGTGAACAGCCTTTTTTCAAGTCCAGGCACAGATTCCCTATTGCATTCAGATCAAGATTCTGACTTTGCTCTTGGACCATAATATTGCTGTTTTAAGCCATTCTCGTGTAGTTTTGGCTTTATGCTTGGGATCATCGACTTGCTTACAGAGAATTGTTCTAGGCTTAGGTTTCTTGCAGACTTTAGGTTTCCTTCATGAATGCCTTGTATTTTGTTGTATTCATTCTACTATCTACCCTCCCAAGCCCAGGGTCAGCTGCAGAGGAGTTTGCATGTTCTCCCTGTGCTTGCGTGGGGTTTCCACCAGGTACTCCTGTTTCCTCCCCCACACTCCAAAGACATGCTGGTAGGTTAATTGGCTCCTGTCTGAATTGGCCTTTGTATGAATGCATGTGAGATAGGGACTTTAGATTGTAAGCTCCTTGAGGGCTGGGACTGATGTGAATGTGTACTGTGTAAAGTGCTGTATAAATTGTGGGCGCTATATAAATACCTGTAATAATAATAATAACAACTGTACTCCAAGGGATATTCAGTGACTTGAAAATGTTCTTGTATCTATCTCCTGACTGTGCTTTCTAATCACCTTTTCATGGTGTTCGGAATGGTCTTTTGCCCTGCGGTATGCCATGATACTGACTTAGTAGAGGTTAGATCTTTTACTCTACTACACAGAGTTCTCTGTGCTTAAATCAGCAGAGAGAGCTCCAGGATTGCAGGAGAGTCGGTCATTTGATTTTGACAGGTCACATGACTGTGCCTCTCTCCTCCTGGCCTTTTTTACTCTACCTTCATTCCCTTTGTTCCATCAGCTTTGGACTTCAAAAGCCAGTAAAGCGTAATGCACATTTCTAAAGTACACTGCTCTGACTTATAAACATACAGGGAGGAATTGATCAAAACTGGAGCAGACAGCCACTGGAGCAGTTGCCCATGGCAACTAATCAGCACCTCTCTTCAGTTTGCTCAGTTGGGATCTGAAAATGAAACAGAGAAGCTGATTGGCTGCAGTGCAAATCTGCGCCAGATTTTGATAAATTCCCTTCACAGTGTTTTTTACATTTTTTGAAAGTATGGCCGTAGTATGCCCATACCTCTGCTTTTTAAATGTACCCTCAGATTTGAATTCTGATATACAGGGGACTGTGGACAGATAGTATAAAAAAGAAAGTATTTCAGGCAGTAATATTATCAGTATTATAAACTACATTTGATGATTTTTCTTTAAAGTTTTATCACTGGCGAAAGCTGGCCTTTTAAGGCAACATAACATCAGTTATGTGGTCACTGTGGTTGGTTGTCAAAGTGGTGACATTATCGGAAAGCTCCTTCTACAGGCTCTCAATCCTTACTATTTTTTTCACATAATGCATGGCGTTCTGTGACTGGAGGAGGGGAGATTAATTCTCATACCCATCCCTCCTCTCCCCTTATCCATTCACACAACACCTTACATTATGTGATCAAATACAAGGCTTTTTTTTGAATGGATGAGGGGAGAGGTGGGGCAGGTATGAGACTGAATCTCCCTTCATCCATTCACAGAGCGCCTTGAATTCTGCAAAAAAAATGTTAACACTTTTTGTGAATGGATTAGGAGATAGTAGGGGGCGTGCATATGATTGGAGCACTGTTGCAGCCGCAGCTCTCATCCCTGCAGCACCAAAAATACAGCGCTCTGTATGATTTATATAGTAAGCAGCAATCATCTGCACAATCATAGTATGATTTATATAGTAAGCAGCAATCATCTGCTCAATCATAGTATGATTTATATAGTAAGCAGCAATCATCTGCACAATCATAGTATGATTTATATAGTAAGCGGCAATCATCTGCTCCATCATAGTATGATCTATATAGTAAGCAGCAATCATCTGCACAATCATAGTATGAGTTTTATAGTAAGTAGCAATCATCTGCTCAATCATAGTATGATCTATATAGTAAGCAGCAATCATCTGCCCCTACTATACCTATTATTAGCAGTAACTTACTTAAGTTGTTCAACAATCCAACATTTTCCCAAAGTTCAACAATAAGTTGCAATAACATTGATAGACGAATAATTTTAAAAAAAAACACAATACAGGAGAATACAGAACACCAGTGACGTATTTGTTTTATATAAGGCAACGCACACCACATAAAAAGGATTACTCACTGGTCTAGTCTCAAAAGAAATCCAGAAATGTAAAAACTTAACTCTTTATCTGCAGGATGTTGGCACTCACATCTCCAGTGCTAACACAAGACATGGCCACCATGACTCTGTGACTGGACGATGACAGGACCTCGATGGCTGAGTTGCGCCTTTTCTGGAGATGGATGACAGCGGAGGTAGTGGACCATCTGCGGCCATGGAGGACGTTGCTGACGATGTTCACAGTGGAGAGCCTGTGGGGCGACCCCTGCATGGTAGAAAGCCAGCTGCCAGCTGTGCAATGACCTATCCCTCTAAGTGCCAGAGACTGCACAACTTGGGGAGAAATGTGTGTGGTTGAATTTATAGCATCTCACTGCACTTCCTGATAGGCTGGGAGGTTTCTATAGTAACTATCAGCTTGACTCGCTGATGTTACTCAAGGAGCTGTAACGCACCTATGCAACCCAGTTTAATGAGAATAAACTCTAAGGAGAGTTTGTTTCAAGTGTTGCAGAGTTTGTGTATGCTACATCATTTATTAATATAGATACATGAAATAAAAGGCACAAATATGTGTGTAATGTAATATCACGAGTTATTAAAGGAGTTGTAAAGTCCCAGTATACCCTATCCTTTTATAACATCAGCATTGTAATAGGAATACATACTAGAGTTGTTTTTGATAATAATAGAATTAAAGCTTACTTGATAAAATCCCTTTTATGTAGTGAGTGCTGCCTTGCGTCTGCCCATCACTTTCATCAACTTCCTGAATTCCCAGTGTGCTTTGCATCTCTTTCCCTTTTGCTTGATGTGATGCAATTTCAATCTGTCAAGATTACATAGCCCATAATTAGGGATGCACCGAAATTTCGGCCGCCGAAACATAACGGCCGAAAATGGCACTTTTGGCAAAATGCCGAAAGTGCCATATTTCAGCCGAAATTGCGGTGCATGGCTGGTTTCTCTCCTCCCCGCTAGGCGCTGCTCTGTGTCCCCTCTGACACAACGCAGCATCCAGCGGGGAGTAAAGAAATTGTCACAGAAGGCCAAGCAGTGCAGGGGACCGCCCCGCTCTGCCTCCTGTGACAGATCAGGAGAGCGGTGTGGGGACAGCTGTCAGAGGAGGCTGGGCCAGCGGTGTGGGGGAGGAGTCAGCTGTCACAGGAGACCAAGCTCTCCTCCCTGCACCGCTCGCTCAGCCTCCTGTGACAGCGAGTCAGGATGTAGAGCGGGTACAAGCAGTCAGTGATCAGCTGATTGATGACTGCTTGTAAATACTTGAGGACATAGTATGTTTACTGTGTCCTCAATTATGAATTAATAGGAAGTGATCTACATCACTTTCTGTTCATTCACGATTGTGGATATAGTACACATACTATCTCCACAAATTATGAATAAACAGGGGTACACACTCAGTATAGGGGATTCCTGTTCATCCCCTGTTCTGAACAGGGATGCAGAAAAAGAGATTGAGGGCTCTGTGTCCTCAATCTCTTTATCTATTTTAAAAGGGAAATATCAGGGGTCTTTTTAGACCCCCAATATTTCCCTGAAGCCCCAAACAGTAAAGTAAAAAAAATAAAAAATGTTTAATAAAAATAAATAAATACAATATAAAAAAATTAAAATCTACCCATAATGCATTGCTTCCAGCAAGCAATGATAATGTTACATTGTTTAGCCGTTGAGTTGTAGTTCTGAAGGAAGGCTCTGTTGGAGTCGTGACACAAGAAAGTGCACATTCACATGGCTGCGTGAAATTGTTTCAGCAACTTGAGGAAGTGCATCTTATGGGCCTCTTTAATAAGTACGTTTACAAATATGGTTAATAGGAGTGGGATAGAACTTCAATATAGAAATACGTATTCATTTTTAATTGGGTTTTTTTTGCAATTTTTTATTTTTACACAGCATGGTGCCATGGGGGCCAGAGAGAAGTTACAGTAATTTAAAACAATGATGCCATGAAAAAGAATGCACATAAGAGAATAGGCAATAAAAACTATTATATGTGCATAGCATTGGAATATAAAACACGAGATACATGAGTAAGGACCACATTGTTCAACGGTACCTGCGAAATACTACGTAAGCCACCATTCTGAAATTGAACAAAGGTTAGACAATACTATGATATGGAGTGGCTTGGTAAGTGACTTGGTAAGTGCAAGCAGGAAAACCACATTCAAATCAGCAGTCGCCAACCGAGTGACACCCCTAACTTTTTTCTCACTTTAAAGGAGAACTATGGGGTCAGTGCTTTTCCCCATAGTTCTCCCCAGGGTCACGTAAGGACCCCTCCCGTGACCCAAAGCTCAGTATACCGCGAGCTACAGCTCGCGGTATACTAAGACCGCCGCAGCCGTGACGGATCCCGACATTACTGTCGAGATCCACCCAGCTGCGTGATTGACAGCTGGCTCTGCTTATCTAGAGGCAGAGCCAGCTGTACCCGCTCCCTCCCCAGTCCGTTCCGCCAGTCAGCGCTGGAGGATCGGACAGGAGAGGAAGGGAATCCCTGCAGGGAGCCGTGAGTGACAGTCACGGGTCCCTGCAGGGACAGGATCGAGAAGTGAGCGAGCGACGGTATGTGTTCGCTCAATTCCCGATCTATTGAGCAGCCGTGTGACAGTTTCATTGTCACACGTCGGCTCGAAATATGAGGCTGAGTGGTTTTCACTCACCTCATAGTTCTCCTTTAAGTGTGTGTGTGTG